TCATCGGACTCGCCGAGTTGTTCATCCAACTCGTCGAGTTCACGGCCATCTTCATATGACTCGCCGAATTAACCTTGCGACTCGCCGAGTCCATTCAGTCCTTTTTCCATACAGACCTATTTTTGAGCCATGCAGCGGCTCCAAATCACAGATCCAAGCTTCTAGGGCATGCTTTTTCACGTAAAGTTGCAAACTTTACGTGCATGCATAGCTACAAAGGTTCTAAAAGCCAAATCTAAGCTCTTAATGGGGTCTCATGCCCAAGGAGGGCCTCATTCACGACCAATACAGCAACTTTATCATTCTAAAACTTAAGGAGGGTCCAGATCTGAAGTTACAACTTCAGATCTAGTCCATATCCCACCTTATCAACCTCAAAATCCATAAAAACCCCCAAAAACTCAACAAAAGGAAAAAGGGAAGTAAGGATGGCAACTTGATACCTCCAAAGGATGCTAGCTGAGGTAAATTCTGCTTCCCACACCTTCCTTGCTTCAATTCCTTTGCACTTCTAGCTTTTCTCTTCTAGCCAACCTTCTTTCCAAGCTTAAGACACACCAAAATGGAATACCACACGAATTAGGGTTTTAAGGAGCTCTCAAAGACTGCAAAGAGGCCAAAGGAGGCTGAGGCTCCTTTAAATAGGGGTGCAAACCCCGAGATTTAGGGTTCCATCTGCCAGCTCCTACTTGCCGAGTCCCAATATGGACTCGTCGAGTAGGTCACTTAACACGCGATCCCACCCCGATGCTACTCGACGGGTAGGTCAACCAACTCGTCGAGTAGAGCTTAACCCAATAAATCTTATTTAAACAATACCTTGCGACTCGCCGAGTCCATTCAGTCCTTTTTCCATACAGACCTATTTTTGAGCCATGCAGCGGCTCCAAATCACAGATCCAAGCTTCTAGGGCATGCTTTTTCACGTAAAGTTGCAAACTTTACGTGCATGCATAGCTACAAAGGTTCTAAAAGCCAAATCTAAGCTCTTAATGGGGTCTCATACCCAAGGAGGGCCTCATTCACGACCAATACAACAACTTTATCATTCTAAAACTTAAGGAGGGTCCAGATCTGAAGTTACAACTTCAGATCTAGTCCATATCCCACCTTATCAACCTCAAAATCCATAAAAACCCCCAAAAACTCAACAAAAGGAAAAAGGGAAGTAAGGATGGCAACTTGATACCTCCAAAGGATGCTAGCTGAGGTAAATTCTGCTTCCCACACCTTCCTTGCTTCAATTCCTTTGCACTTCTAGCTTTTCTCTTCTAGCCAACCTTCTTTCCAAGCTTAAGACACACCAAAATGGAATACCACACGAATTAGGGTTTTAAGGAGCTCTCAAAGACTGCAAAGAGGCCAAAGGAGGCTGAGGCTCCTTTAAATAGGGGTGCAAACCCCGAGATTTAGGGTTCCATCTGCCAGCTCCTACTTGCCGAGTCCCAATATGGACTCGTCGAGTAGGTCACTTAACACGCGATCCCACCCCGATGCTACTCGACGGGTAGGTCAACCAACTCGTCGAGTAGAGCTTAACCCAATAAATCTTATTTAAACAATACCTGAGAATCGGGGCATTACAATACGTCACTGACTGGGTCAGAGTTGACAGCGGCTTTTGGAAGCTTACGATTGCTAAGTCGGATCCTGAATTCACATAGGCAGCTATAGTTATTAGACTTATCCAAGTGCGAGACTGTTGGATTTGGTGTCTAAGCACATAACTATAACCGGTATGTACTTGACCTGAGTAGCATGGTCCTTTTGGGTTGCCTTCACCAGTGCAATTTGATAGGATGGTTTTATGAGAATAAGGTTATTTACGATTTATTAATATATTATAAGTATAATATATTAATATGGTTATTTAATTAGTATTGTCCAAGAATTAATTTGGAATTAATTTTGTGGTCAAAAGAGACTAATTAAATATGGAGGGATTGATTATCTAAATCAATGATACTTATAGTGTGGGCTAAGTGATCTATGATTATGTAAGTGGGCTAAACCAATAATATAACTCATGGATAGTCCATGGAGGTTAAACCCATGGATCATAGGAATGTGGAAAGTCATGGATCATTAGGGTTTACAAAGTGTAACCCTAGCACTTGACACAACTATAAATAGACCCCTCCATGCACCAAGATCGGTTGCACCTTCAAAAGAGACAAGTAACTTATTCTCTTAGAACCTCCTCTTGCATATTGGTGTTTGTGAACCATTAGAGGCATCACACTTGAGGTGCTTAAGCTTTCAAAGGTCAAGAACTCTACCCTACTCAAGATGTATGTATCCTAACTATGTTTTGATTATATATAGCTTCAATTGTATGCTAGCTAGGGTGAATGCTTTGGAAAAAGAAAATGCATGTATAATTAATGAAAACATAGATCTAAAGCATTTAGGGTTGCATGTGCACTTAGGAAGTGTTATAGTGCTCAAAACCCAACAGAGGATGCCATGTTAGCAGTCGACTTCAACTCGTACCTTCAATTCCAAGCCCTAATCGTCGATTTGCTGTATCGATTGATTTCTCACAGAAGAAGGTAATCGAGGTGTGTTTTAGAGCTTGTCCCAAGCTGACGATGACGAACCCTAATTAAATGACAAAGGGGTGTAATGGCCACGTAAGATTCCACGTAATGTATTTAATCGAGCTAAATCAATGTTACTGGCTAAAACTAGTAATAGCCGGTAATGTTGGTTATTTGTGAAATACTTAAAAGTTAATTGGGTAAATGAGTACAAAAAAAACAATATTACCCATATGTGAACATATGAAATACTTAATTACCTTAATAAGTCAAATTCCCGCAGTTTTTTTGACCAACTGGCTGAATGGGTCGTTTTGGATTGATAGGTGCCAAGTTCGAATCCCTTAATCTATGATTGATAGGTGCCAAGTTCGAATCCTTTAATCTATTTTTTCTTGTTTATTTCGCAGACATAGCATGCCACCTCAATTGCCAACTTGGCATGCCACATAGACGTTTACCTGCTAAAAATGTCAAAATTAACTAAATTAAAAAAATAACTAGTTTTTTGGGTTTTTCTGTTTAATTTTTTTAGACTTTTTTAAAGTTTTTCTAAAATATTGAGACTTTACTATAGAAAACCATTTTAAATAATGTTTATCTACTTACAAAAAAAAAACCTTTTTTTTTTTTTAGAACGGCAGAGTTAAATTATGTTAGTGGTTCGAGTCGTGCAGTGACATCCAAGCGGGCAGTATGCCTTTCCCGAACCTTCACTCGTGGGGTTATCCGCTTCACCTTTACACTGCTTTCTCCTATGGAAAAGCCTCCAAGAAGTCTCGAACCCGAGACCTCCCAAAGGAAAACCACCCAGGCAACCCTGGTGGCCAACTGATCTAGACCAGTTGGTTAAAAAACGTTTTATCTTATTGATTTTAATGGATGAAGTTGGTAACTTTTCAAATTTAACAAAGTTATCCCAATTAAGTTGCACAAAGATATATTATATTTGACGATTATAAGAGATTAGAAATTTAAATTACACAAAGTTACCTCTGTTTAAAAGGATTTGGATTAGATGATGGTTGGAGAGTATAAGGGCGGACAAATTTTAAAATTGAGAAGGGGTAAATGATAATTATAGTTGATCTGGAAATATGAAGGTTTTAAGATTAAAGGGTAAAATGGTAATTTAAGTTTTATAAAAAAAATGAGCGGGAAAATTAATTGAGGAATGATTGAAAAGATGGCCTTGACATAATTTTATTGTTCTATTAGAATATATTAGATTAGGAAAACATATATTATGTTATCCCTTAAAAAAGAAAAAATCTATTTAATAAATTCCATAATAAAGTAATAATTAAATTAGTTGATAAAAATGAGTTTACTATTACTTTCTTCTATTTCCATTTTCCAGGCAAATAGAGCATAGAGCGCTCTTTTTTCTTCTAAATGCTCTCCATTTTCCGAAAACACTGGGGTTTTGTCTTGCTTGATTCTAGGGTTTTGTCCGATGCTCGATTCTAGCTCTCAATTTTGATCCTCTGTCGCATTTCTTCTCCTTCTCGATTATTTCAAGAGGTAAATCCTGATCCTTCGAGTTAAGTTAATGGTGGAAATACACACATATAGCTGATTCATGCTGAGTTTTTTTGGATCTGTAGCTCGTATATCTCATTATCTCTATATAGAATGTTGATTGTTATGGAACGGTGGCTTCACCTATATGTTACATGTAGCTTAACAAACTGTTGTTTGAGCACATTGTATAAAATGTTACCTTTTTGCTGGACTACATGACTCAAGCTTCTGAAATTTCCAAAAATGAAACTGAGTAAACTTCTTATTCAGGTTCTGATTCATTGTGTCATGATTAATTGCTTTCTACTATAGAAAAATAACGGTTGATTTAAAGGTGCATAAGCTACCACACCATATCCCTGTTTATGCTTTGAAAAATCAGAATTGTGGTAAATGAACAAGCTGATGTGTGATTTGATGCATTTTATATTTATAGTCGTGTGGTTTGAGTTTCTAGACATTCTGTAATTGTATAAAATGCTAACAAACTGTTGTTTGAGCACATTGTATACAATGCTACCTTAGTTGCTTGATTACATGTCTCAGCTTTTGAAATTTCCAAAAATGCAAAGCTGTTTCATCCGTGTCATGCTTATTTGCTTTCTACTATAGAAATAATGGTTGATTCGAAGGTGCATAAGCTTACAACAAACCTGTTTATGCTTTGAAAAATCAGAATTGTGGTGAATTAACAAGTTGATTCAATTGCATTGTATATTTGTATTTTTTTGGTTTGAGTTTCTAATACATCCGGTAATTGTATTGTTTATGCTTGATTGGTTGTAAAGTACCAAATGATATGATAAATGGGTATGAGGAGATTGCTTTTCTAGTTCACTGATTTTGGTATGAGGTCATTGCTTTTCTTTTTCATTGATTTCTAATGAAAGCTCACTTTTGTTATCATTTGTTTATTTCTAGGTAAACAATCAGAAAATGGGTGAAAATTTTCTTAGAAGTCAATGTCGTGATCTTTTAAAGGAAGCACAAAGACTTGATCACGTGAGTGGAAGAGATCACGAGATCACGACAATAGCGGGGCTTTTAAGTCGAAAATCGAAAAGCAATGTTATTCTTATCGGGGAGCCCGGTGTCGGTAAAACTGCGATTGTTGAAGGGCTAGCTCAAAGGATCCTGAAAGGCGACGTACCAAAAAATATGAAGGATGTACAGATTTTCTCTTTGGATATTGGGGAGTTGTTGGGTGGTACTAAATACCGAGGCGAGTTTGAGAAAAAGTTTCAAAAAATCATGACAGAAGTGCAAGCCTCTCGAGGAAAAGTGGTGTTGTTTATAGATGAAATCCACCTAGCTCTTGGCGCCGGTAGGGTTGAAGGATCAAATGTCGATGTAGCAAATCTTCTAAAGCCGTATCTTGCTAGAGGCGATTCGAGGTTGATCGGTGCCACTACATCCGATGAGTATATGAAGTATGTCTCTATAGATGCAGCTTTTGCAAGGCGATTTCAACAAGTTATAGTTGATGAACCTAGTATCCCAGACACAATAAACATCCTCCGCGGGCTAAAAAAGGGATATGAAATGCACCATGATGTGCGGATCCTTGATGCTGCTTTGGTTGCAGCTGTGCAGTATTCCAATAGATACATAACAGGTTTGATGGATATGTTTTATTTATCCTTTTTTGTCCTTATTTATGATGCTAAATTTTATTGAAATTTGTTTTCAGCACGATATCTGCCGGACAAGGCAATAGATCTTGTGGATGAAGCGTGTTCGCAGATAAAACTTCAATTGGATACCCCCCGGATGAAATAGTTCATCTTGAAAGAAACATAGCATATCTGGAGGTCGAGCTTATGGCTTTAAAATATGAGAGAGACACTGCAAGCAAAGCCCAATGTATTAAGGTCAGTTGTTTACATTTGTGTTTGTTTTGGTACTCTTAGAACACACTAATTTCTTAGCTTTTGCAGATAAGAAATGAGCTTGGTGATTCGAGAGGTAATTTGGAGATGCTATTGAAGAAATACAACAGAGACAAAGAAAGAATAGCAAACATTCGTTATTACCGAAAGAAAAGAGATGAGGCTATTGTAGCTTGTGAAAAAGCCGAACGTTCTAATAATTCATCGGCAGCTATGAGTGCAAGACGCGCACTTGAAATAGCCGAGGATGGTATAACGGCAGAGGGAAACAATATGACGTTGACTGACACGGTAGGGCCCGAGGAGATCGCGAAGGTTGTGAGTCGACAAATAGGTGTACCTGTGACTAGTATAGGTACAGATGAGAAACATAGGTTGATGGGGCTGGCCCAGAGTCTACATAAAAAAATCATAGGGCAAGACCAAGCCGTGATGGCTGTTGTTGAAGTGGTGCTAAGGTCGAGGACCGGTTTTGGAAGGCCGAACCAACCGATAGGTTCATTTCTCTTTGCGGGTTCCACAGGCGTGGGAAAAACGGAGCTTGCCAAGGCTCTTGCAGCACATTTATTTGGAGATGAAAAGGTTATTGTGAGACTTGATATGTCGGAGTACATGGAGGCACAGTCCGTGGCTCGATTGATAGGCTCCCCTCCCGGGTTAGTCACATCTTTTTGGTTTAGTCATACTACAAAATTCTATTTCACTTATTCCCATCATTTTTATATCACAAAACTCTTCAAATGAGTGGTATGATGTTACTCTATTTGGTCGAGGTTACAATCATTTAAACCGATTCCATAATGAGATGGACATTATTCAATGTTGCAAGTGATGCATAAATTTTTAGTTATATAATTTGAATAAATAAGTTAATATGTGAAATATAATAGATGTGTACAATAAACTGAGTTCTAGTAAAAACACCCGCGCAATGTCGCGGGTTGGAATAAGGTTAGCGATTCGTGCGAAGCTTTGATCAAAAGTTGTAAATGTCATGACATTTTGGAGATGATAATAATGTGGAAAAAAAGGGAAATGAAGGGGACTAAATCTGTCAAAATGGAAAACCTTTGTTGTAGGGACTAAATCTGCCAAAATGTAAAACATTTAAATTGCAGGGACTAAGTATGCCAAAAATGTAAAACCTTTTTTGCAGGGACTAAATATGCCAAAATGTAAAACCTTTGTTGCAGGGACTAAATATGCCAAAATGTAAAACTTTTGTTTGCAGGGACTAAATCTGTCGAAATGGAAAAACTTTGTTGTAAGGACTAAATCTGCCAAAATGTAAGACATTTAAATTGCAGGGACTAAATCTGCCAAAAATGTAAGACCTTTTTTTTGCAGGGACTTAATCTGCCAAAATGTAAAACCTTAGTTTGCAGGGACTAAATCTGTCAAAAAGGAAAATCTTTGTTATAGGGACTAATTCTGCCAAAATGTAAAATATTTATGACAAAAGTCCAACTAGGAAGGCCATTGGGAATTTATATACTAATAATAATTAGTATTTTTGTTGATATGTAAGTATTAGTGAGGTGTTGTTAGTGGCATGACTTGTTGTTTCAGAAACTAAAATTTAAATGGTTTTGGAAAGATTCTTATTAAATTTATTGATTGATGTTTCAGAAATGAGGGACGTTCTTTTCAAGGTGGCGGACTGACAGAGCCAGTAAGGCTAAAGCCTTACAGTGTTGTCCTACTGGACGAAATAGAGAAAGCTCATACGTCTGTGCTCAATCTTCTGCTGCAGTTGTTGGACGAGGGCAGGTTGACAAACAGCCAAGGCCGCAAAGTAGATTTCACAAACACAGTTATCATTTTGACCTCCAACCTTGGAGCTGAGCATCTAATTGATGCGTTGTCAGGGAAGATCACCATGGACAAAGCTCGTTCGAAGTTGATTGAAGTGGTAAGGGCTTTCTAATAACTCCAAACTCTTTCTAGACATCTTCTTGATATATATATATATATATATATATATATATATAATACAATGGCTTGCTTCTTCACAGGTGAAACTGCATTTCAAGCCAGAGTTAGTAAACAGAATTGATGAAATCGTGATTTTTGATCCTCTGTCTCGGGATCAAGTGAGGCAGATTGCCAGGCTCTTCATAAAAGATGTTGCTATTCGTGCGGCTAGTCAGGGCATTAGCTTGCAAGTGACGGAAGGAGCACTGGGCTATATAGTTGCAGAATCTTTCAATCAGGTATGTAACAAATCAAATATCCATTTCTGATTTCACTTAAACTCCAACTGCCATAGTTGTGTGTTCTGTTCAGATGGATGGGGCACGGCCAATCAGGAAATGGATAGAGAAGAATATTGTTTCAAATATATCAAGGATGGTGGTATCGGGAGAAATTGCTTCAAACTCATGTGTGCTCATACATGATAGATCAGAAGGGGAGGGGAGAAAATTAACTTTCCTTGTTTCCAAGGAGGAGATGAAGAGGGAGACAGAGGCAGGGGAGGAACACCAGCAGTAAATTTTAGATTTTAAAAATTGTTGATGTTACCAAATTTTCAAGAGATAATAGTACTAACAATAACATTTATGGCTTCTCCCATTAGGTGTTAAAAGGAATATGGACCATATTGACACGTATTTTGTTAAAATGATCATTTCCATTCATATTATGTACTTTGTGCAAGAAAAAAGCTTTGTAGTAATATTGACTGATGCATTTTGTCAAAATTATATTGTAATATGAACCAATAATGGACCAACACCCATTTAAACTGATGGTATGGGACATACCTCAAATTTAGGAGTAGATAGGGTGTGTGTGAGAGTAGCCCGTTCTAAAAAGACTATGCACCTTTACATTTAAAACATTTTTGCTAATTTGACTCACCCAAGGTAATTTAGTTAAGTCCATTTGCAAATACCAACCAATATTAAGTTGAGTTATGTCGCTCGAATGTGGAAAACTCGAAATCAAGCTTTAAATAATTTGTTACAACATATACCCATTGGATATACACTAATTGCAACTTAAAGTTTTACATTTTCGATGAATGTGACCTTATCACTCCAAACTTTTGTTTTTAAGGTAAAGAGCTCAAGTGCTCTTGTCGGAAAGCCAAGACTGTCTGCAACTCTAATCCCATATGTGATTTGTGAAAAATTATAAACTCAAAACAATTCATCTCACACTGCCTTATGGAAGAAGACTCAATAGCTTCACGTTATAAATTAAAGGAAACCTTCTAAAGAATGATATATTGGGTTTCTTCCCATGTTTAACTAGAATTTAGTTCAAATTTTCAATATAGGAACTATTACTATTGGGACAAATTTTAATACATTAGGTAAAAGACACATAATTATCTTGAACCACGTTGATTTGAGAAGGTCTTTGTTATAAGAGATACATGGATATATAGATTAAGGAAACGGAGAACTAGGTTTACAATATATAATTTCTATAAAACGGATTAGATTTTTACAAAAAGGGATTTGGTTGACTTCGAATAGTTAAACATCAGGAAAGGTTATAATCTTTTTTAATCCTTAGTCCTTACTAATTGAGATCTTGCTATGTTGGTAAAATGGTCTCTCAAGTCCGGTTTCCTGTAAGTTGATTAGTTGGTAATGGTCAACCAATATTCGAAATTAGTTTAAAATATAAACTTCTCTAAAATGTATTACATTTTTATAAAAGGGATTTGGTTGACTTTAAATAGTCAAATTCTGAAAAGGATCAAATTTCTTTTTGATCGTTACAAATTGAGATCTTGCCATGTTGGTGAAATGGTCTCTCAAGTCCCTCTTCCTATATGTTGATTTGTAGCTAACGATCAACCAAAGGGTTTTTGAACGGATCATATGATTGTTTAACTTGGCCTTATCATGCGTCACAAGGAACATGATTGACCAAAGCCTTTTTCCGATAAACTATAGGGTTCAAAATCCAGCCTTTTGATTAGACAATAAACTTGGATGATCAACGTTTAATACATACTTGTATAATGCCGATTTGTTTTATTATAGTATAATATAACACATATGTCTTGATCCGGATGCTTATCTATTTTCATATTAATTATCAACCTACTTGGTTAGTGATATATCTATATTGGAGTGATCCATATAGAGTATTTGTTTGTAAGTGTTTGAATTGTATGGTCGATCCACATTTTCCTAGCTAGTAGGGTAGGAGTTTTTATTGCATTATATGCATCGAATTTATCTAGAATGTTGTCAAATCACGCTAAGTATTTTTAGAGCTTTAGTTTTTCTTATAGGAATTGAGTGAATTGTAATCTTGGTCACGATGGTTTTTAAATAGACAAAATGGTAGATTTGGTCTCTGTGTGAAAAAATTGTTCATGTGTAACAAATTTACAGAAACTATCCCCATATGAGAAAAAGTATAAAAATTGTCATTGTGTAAGAAAATTAAAATAACTATCCACGTCTAAGATAAGATTAGAGAAATGGTCTCTCTATAAGAAATATATGAAATTACAAAAATAGTCCATGTGTATGTATATAAGAGAGAGTTATAGAAATAGTCCCTACTTAACAAAGTTACATACATGATTCTTGTGTAAAAGAAAATTACAAAAATAGTTCCTATGTAACAAAAGTTACAGAAACTTGTGTAAGACAAAATTACACGTAAAACAAGGTTAACAAAATAGTTTGTGTGTAACAAAGTTACAAAAATGGTATTTGTCTCGTGAAAAATTATAGGAATGGTCCACTAGTAGGAAGTAGGCACAACCTTTGTGTTTTTAATTATTTTACTTTATAATTTCTTTTATTAGTTTATTTAATTAGTAGAAAATATAGTGTTAGGCTGTGTTTGGCGCGTCACAGCTAGCTGATAAGCTAGCTTATTTTTCGAGCTTTTTTATGTTGTCGTGTTTGGTAAACCAAAAAGTAGCTTTTAAGCTAGCTTATAAGCTAACTTTTTGAAAAGCTACTTAGACTAGCTTTTTAGGAGCTTTTTAAAAATTTTCCAAATACACCCCTTAATTAATTATAGAAACACATACTACTACATGTCCTTTTATGTAATTTTATATATTTCAGCTAGCTTTTCACCTAGTTTTACCAAACTTTATTTTTTATCAGCTAGCTTTTCAGCTATCAGCTAGCTTTTTATTTAACAGCTAGCTTTTCAGCTAGTACGCCAAACATAACCTTAATAAAATCGTTGTAACTCACATGCCATCACCACTGGTTTGTAACATTTAGCAAATATAAGACAACATTTGCAACTAGAGTTATATATTTTGACATTATTTTTTATATTTAGAAAATAAACTAAAATGGCATTTCAAAACTAAAACAAATAACTAATCATCACATTATTTCTTTGAAGCATCTTCTCACGGCTGGTTTTGCTGGCAGCCCAATCAACCTTAATCGTTAAGGTGGGTGAATCAGTGGTTCTCTCGTTCCTTGGGTAAGCTGATAATTAAGTTTTGTAACCAAAAATTATTCTCCAACCCAGTTCTTTCCACTTAAACTTAGTAGATAAAAACTCACACTATAGCTTTTTCTTTAGGTGATAGTCGTAACTAGAAAAAAAAGGTTATTCTTACTTCAATTTAATAATTTTCAAATGTGCCACTCATTGATATTCTTAGTTGTTAGTGTCGCACATTGGATATACATGGTCACTTATATATCTATATGTGTTAGAGTCTCACGGAATAATGGAATGGAGAATTCCTTATGGAATGCAATGTTTTAAAAACCCGTTTTTTAGTTGAACCGGTATGGTGACCGATTCTCGGTTCAACCGGTTTAACCGCTTCGACCGCCAGATGAACCGGTTTCTATACTTTTCATGTTTGTTTTTCTATTTTCCTACACATACATACATATATAAATTATGAATTTGATGTTTACAAGTTCAAATATTAAAAATACACATAAAAATAAGTTGTAAATGAATCCAAATACATTAAAATACCACATAATCATAAGTTTTAGTGTTTTTCATCAATCCATATACGTCAAAATGAAAATAAAGTATAATACCGAAACAAAATATAGTTTTAGATGAATACAAACATATCAAAAAAATTTATAAAATTTATCATATGTTTTTATTTAGAGAAAACTAAATAGATTTGAAAAAATCACCAAAGTTTATTATGTAAATGATTCTTTTTGATGTGGTTTTATTAGGTTTAACCGGTTCAACCGGTTTATTTTGACCGGTTCAACCGAATTTTTCTAAAAACCGGCCGGTTCAATCCGGTTCAGAAATCAATATAAAACCAGTGATAGTCGAACCGCTACCTCTCTCGGTTCCCGGTCCAACCGGTTCGACCGGCCGGTTCAAACCGGTTTTTAAAACATTGATGGAATGTGATGACTTCACCCCAATTGATCTTCAATCTATAGGGCAGAGCTGGTTTTTTTATTTCATTTACTCGGGAAATTGAATGATGAATACTATGATAATAAATTGGTTTCATCTATATATAATATTCAATGAATATTAATCTTTTAAATTGTTCAGAACTTTAGTTAAATAATTATTTTAAAATATATATAATATTCTTTTGTCATAGTTATATTTTAAGATTTTATGGTGTCAAGTTCCTTTTATTTTGTAACTAGTTTTAGATCATCGGTAATTTCTTTTTTTATCAACTATATTACGATAAACAAAATTTATAGATCTGATTCTAGGGAAAGGATTAAACAATAAAACCAACCGAGTGCAATATCATCAAAATCAATGAAGTTAGAAATGCAATCTTCTCAGCATAGAGATTGCTAGAGAGCAAGTAATAATACATACATGTAACCATAAGCAACCTCGCCAACGAATTGGAAATGGAGGAACGATGATGCGAGAAGCTGAGAGCCCGGAGGAGGAAAATCATATTGGTCTCAATTGCGGACATGGCGACGACTTTTTACTCTTTTGCAATGTTATAAAAGGCACACCAAGGTGCTCCATAGCGGCGAGGCGTAGCTCCGCCGTCAAGAAAATAACCTTAGAGCCGCTGTTAGGCATGACACACGCCATGGCTTGTCTAAGGCTCGTTTTTTTTTGTTGTTCTAGATTGGACGTGAAACCATTGAATTTGTATATTTTTTGTTACATGGTATTCTTATAACAATAAAACCTTGATATAACGGGTATAAATCTATAACTATGTGATTTTTTATGTATACAAAATTGTTGCCTTAAGTCACGTCTTGAAAACCGCCGTTGCTCATAAAGGTCAAACCTCAAACTTTTGCGAGAAATGACGTTGATAGACCAAATCCAGGATGGGGCTATTGTGCTCTTGATCCGCTACTTCTTTCTCACTTACCTCCTCATGCATCTGTCTCTTTTCATTATGGCTCCAAATAAGAATCATGGCTCCAAATAAGAATAAGGTAATCCACTTGTTATCTATTTATCCATTTGTAGAACATCTTTTTTTTCATGTTAAGGAGGAAGATGATCGGGTGAAGGCCAAAAGTTTAGGTCGTGATTTATGTTTTGTTTTTGCTCTTGTGAAC